GATTATTAACTCTCCTTATGTAGTGCATTTTAATCTTGGACTCGGCGAGTTGAAGGACTAACTCGCCGAGTAGGAGCAGGACTAGACACGGGATCAACCCTATCTACTCGGCGAGTAGGCTCGTGGGACTCGGCGAGTAGACCCTGTCTGGACTGAAACCCTAACCCGTGTGTTTGCATCCTATTTAAACGATCTAACCCAGCCTCCATTTCCCCTAGCACCCCCAGAGATCTGTAGAACGAAACCCTAGCCCTTTGTGTCCTTGTGGGTGATTTTTTTAGCATTGTGAAGGTGGTTTGGAGCTTGGGAGAAGAAGGAGAAGCTTGAGGATTGCAAGAAGAGAAGAAGATCCGGAATCTACTCTGTGAGAGGCTTCTATTCAGGTAGAAAAGTTCCTACCTTGATCTTTAGCTCATTGAACCCCCCTTCTTATCCCTAAAAAGAGGTTTTAAGCCCTAAGAACCTAAATCTCTTTGTGTTTATGGTTAATGTTCTGCAAGGACTTCGGATTTGGACCTTTAGGACATCCTAGTAGCATAAAGTCTCTGTGGTTGAGGTGATTGAGGTCCCTATTGAGTGTAGGACCTCTTAAAGAGCTTGGAATTGCATGTTTGAGCTCATAGGGTCGTGCATGCACGTAAAGTTTGCAACTTTACATGGTAAACATGCCTTAGGACCATAGATCTATGGTTTTGAAGCATTGCATGTCTCAAATCTGGCCTACTCGGGAAATAGGTCGATGGACTCGGCGAGTCCCAAAGTGGAACTCGGCGAGTTCTATGAAGATGGTCTTAGACTCGGCGAGTTGGATAAACAACTCGGTGAATCCTATGAAGATTGCCTGGAGCTCGCCGAGTTGTTCTTCAAGCTCGGCAAGTCATATGAACTTTCGCAGAGCAAGAGGGGTTTAAGCGTTGAAGGGTCAACCCTTCGTAACCGCACGCGGAATTAACCGTTTAGCGAAGTCCCCACAACCCCCAAACCCTCGTATGGGGTGTTCTGGTGTGGATGGGAAGCGAGTAGGGGATCCGCTCGAGGAACTCGGCGAGTTGCTCGCGGACTCGGCGAGTCCAGTCAACTGGAAGTTGACTTTGACTTGGATTTCGACCTGGTCAAGGGTAAAAGGGTCATTTTACCCTAAGAACATCTAGCAGTGTTTAACTGATCGTTTTGTGGGATTTATAGCCGGAGGACGTCCGAAACAGCAGCAGTAGACAGTCAGTTCTCAATCAGATCAGCAGCTACGTTGAGGTGAGTTACCTTCCAGTAGCGGTGGGTCTACGACCACATTGCCGACCCACCAGTAGGAGTTGTATGATGGATGATTGTCTCTGTGATATTCATCTAAGGTTGCTACTACACGTGATATGTTTATGTGCTAGTATGATATGTTGCTATGTGCTAGTGACAGTAAGGGGAGATAGTCCCCAGATTACTGGTCGATAGGGCCGAAGGGGCGGTCATGCCCAACCATGCTAGATAGATTGCGAGATATATGTGTTATGTGGTAGTAGTAGTAGTAGTAGGGGGTGAAATAGTCCCCAGTATCCGGTCGAGAGGACCGAAGGGGGAGACCAGCACCTAGATATGCTAGTCAGTATCCGGTCGAAAGGATCGAAGGGGAGGCAAGCTCCCAGTTATGCTAGACAGTATCCGATCGAGAGAACCGAAGGGGTAGGTCGGGCACCTAGATATGCCTGACGATATATGCATGTTATGTGATTGTATGGTATGTGGTAGGTTGGGGGAACTCACTAAGCTTCGTGCTTACAGTTTTCAGTTTTGGTTTCAGGTACCTCTTCTTCGAAGGGAAAGGAGCTGGCGCGGTAGCGGCCCGTCACACACATGCTTCGTATTCCGCATCATGAGAACTTCCTGTGGAATTGTACTCTGACATTTTTATGTTTATTGAAATGTTTTCCAGACATGCAATATCTTATTGAAATACTTTGATCAGTAAATATTTTAATTCGAATGTTTTGTTAAAAATATGTTTTCAAAAATGAAATTTTTGGCTCGTTCTTTGGGGTGTTACATGGAGTGTAAAGGTTTGTTTTTGATTCCTTCAAAGTGTTTATTGACTTTTTAGAAAAGCCAAAAATTCAAGGACTTTTGGAAAAGTCATTTTTTTTTTATCTATAAAGCTAGTGTCTCTCAAACACCTTTTTAACTTATTAACTTTTTGAAAAGTTAATCTATCCTACAAAATAAAAGAATAATTTTATTTGTATACATATCATTCTATTACATCTCCATATTTAATGTTTGTCACGTGTCATTTTACTATATGCTCATTTAAAATAACAATCATTGATAAATGGAAAAATACATATTAGTTATAAATGGAAGAATCGCTTTAAATCAGACAAAATTTTCAGCACCTTTAAATTATATTATTATATATTAAAATTATCCATCCTTAGTTAAGTAAAGTTGCTAAGGATGGATAAAAATGATCCCGTGAGTTTATGTGAGTCTGTCAATTTCTCTTTGTTTTCTTTTTTGACTTTGCAATAGGTCAATTTGTTTCAATTTGATGACCACTTGTTTGTTTCACCGTTTTCTGATCCAATCAGATTCAGATTTGTGTATATGGTCGCAGCCACCCGTATACCACACACCCACCGTTTTCATCTCCAAACACCTACTCCTCCACCTTCTCTCTTCTGTTTCTTCTCCACCCATCACCACTCCCTCCACCGATCCTTTTCTTCCACTTTCGATTGTATTTTCATCGTGTTTCGCCTATACGCCATCTTCTCTTTAAATTGACACACAAATCGAGCTCACAGGAGTTATGAGTTCTCGATTCCTCTATGATTACACCGGAGACTTCAGTCGATCGATCACTCACTTTGCTTCTATCATACCGCCATGGCCGACGCGCTTTCGTTTTCCCTATGCCTAAACGTAGACATGCTTCCGTTCTGTCTTCATCGTCTGCATCGCCTGACGAGTTCACATATTCTTCCCGCCGTCGCCTCAAGTCACATCCATCTCCGATCACACGACGTCTGCTATAGCCTCGGTCGATGACTCTGCCTCCACCATAAAGGATGCGTCGATTCGATATACGCCACAGTAGACGCAAACGATTTCTTTCTAATCAAATTGGTTTTCCCGTAAGTAATTTCATTTGTTGTATACCTTCATTATATGCTTTAATTTTATAAACCCTAAGTAATTGGTTGTATGAAATCGAGTCAAATTTCTTTCATGCAGCTTGTAAAATGTTGAAATTCTTTCCAAAGTTGAGTTGTTTGCTTCTTCTATAATTATCCAAATTTGCGACTTCAGGTAAACAGAAGGGTAATTTTATCTTATAACCAACTTTGATTATTTTAATGATCATGGTTACTTTTCTTCTGCATAATTCAGAACATAGCTTCTTATACACAATCTTTTATGATGACTGCAAACTCACGTAAATGAGGGTTTTACCCATTGAATCATGATTTTATTTTATTTTATTTTATTTTATTTTATTTTTTTTTCTGATTTGGCTCTCTATTCTTTTTGCAGTTCCCATGGTTTTCCTTCTCTGGGTTGATTAAGAGGTAAATTTTACTTCCAATGGAATTACTCCAAAAAGAATTAAAAGTCTTTTATTAGGACATTAAATTCATCATGCTCACCAAGTGTTTGTTGTAAGTCCTCAACCAACCGTACATCTTTTGCGATCAATTTCTTAAAACTAAATTGATTGTTTCACACAAGCAATTCAATGGTATTGTTGGCTTAATTTGAGGATATGAGTGCATTGGTAAAATTCAAATGGGTGAATAAACACATTTCGTTAATATGAATATATTTGTTAAAGTAAAAAAGTTAGCATCAAGGTTTAGGTTTGAACTGTGCAGGTAAAATTAGTGCTTATATGTGAAAGTTTTTGCCTTTTGAATATTAAAAGTATTAGATAAATTAGAACCAAGTTTTTTGATAGTTATAAAAATGGGTGGGGGAATAATAAAATGTTAAAAACGAACAAACTAACAAATTAGATGTATTTACTTTTTTATTTAAGTTTGTGATTGATTAAATAAAAACAAACTAAATCTAATCTGTTCTTGACCATCATGTTGTCTTATTGTTAAAATATACTTTTGTAACAATTACATATATGAATAGTGAATTAGTTAAAATAATAACAAGGAATGCATATTAATATAAGAATGCATCCTCAGGTCAAGCAATAAAAAATCCAAAGCACACAGTTAATGCAAAACATAAGCCTTTTTTTTTTTCATTATGATGTGTCATTTTATATGACATGACATTTATAGTTTTATATGAGATGAGATCCAGTGAAAAGGGGATTGTTGCATGTTAAATTTTCATTTTTTTTAAAATTTCCATGATAGAGCATTACATACTCACTTTTTTATAATAGCCCAGATAAATCATTTCATTTTCTTACCGGAATATTGCATTCTACCTTCTTTTTTTTAAAATCTACCTAAATACATTATTGCATTTTCATTTTTTTAAAAAGCTACAAGGATAGCATTTCATTTCCATTTTTTTAAAATGCCTGGATATAACAACATATTTTCATTTTTTTTTGAAAATCTTACCAAATATACCCTTGTATTTTCGTTTTTTTTTTAACTACCTGAATATAGCATGCATTTTCATTTTTCTAAAAACTTCTTTAGACACATTATTCCATTTTCATATTTTTTGAAAAAATTTAACCAAATATAGTATTGCACTTTCATTTTTTTTTTTTTTACATTCCCTTGAGTTTTTGCTTGCTGGAAGCAAGTTAATTTTCTGATCCCTGCCTACACTTTTGAACTAAACATCAATTCCCCTTATCTAATACATCTTCATCATTTTAATTGTTAAATCAAATACAATTTTTTTTTTTTATTATGTGATAAAAAGTAAAATTAAAGATAATGGATTGGTTTTTGTTATAACAAAAAAAAAAGTTGAAACGGTTTACTCAACCTATATAGGAAATTTAATGCAGTAGTAGCACAAGGTAATTGGGTGGAATGGTTTTACTTGCAACAAAACTAGAGTTCCTGGTTTATGAGATCCTCCTCTCAAAGGGGAAACCGTATGTCACAAACTTGGATTCTCTTTTCTTTTTTTTAAATTACTGTTTTACCCTTTATGATTGCTAGCTTAACACTGCAGCTATAAAAACAATCGAGAAATCTTGGCTATGATAAACTTAATTGCAGCATATCAAGGTAATGAAATATTGGAATTTGAGAAAATTCTCAAGGTAAAAAGTAAAAGATTGAACATCATGCACCATGGGTTATACACATAAGTAAAAGAAATTTTGTATGATTTATGTGAGAGAGCAACAAAACAACAATCATGGATGATCCTTTTATCAGGAATTACATTGACATTAGAATCAAGTGTTACTCAACCTTATCAAGCCATACCCCAGGATAAGGAGCCCTTTCATATCGAAGGTATTTATTTATTTTTTTAATGATTATTATACGTACTTACATACATGGATGTTGTGTGTTGGAAAACGAGTGCATGTTTTGGGAATTTAATTTTTGGGTATTGTAGGGATGCAAACAGCGTATATAATACGGACATGGGTGATTGTATTTGTAGGCCAACTGAGAATCTGTTCATGTTTACTTGCAGAGGGATCCTAATTTATTCTACACAGTTTCCGTTACCGGAGGTACGACGTAGTTATGTTAATCTCCATTGAAATGAAACATTCACCTTGCACCTTACGTTCTCAATAACGATTATTTTGTTCATAAGGTACATGGTTATTAAACTTACTGCATGCCCCATATTTTTTGTTGTTTTCATTTGATATACTACAAATAGGATTCCTAAAACGAATGACATGTAATATTTTCTTGATTATAGCATCATATTTTCTGATTGCTATTACAAGATTGTGCTTTTGGGAGTTCTCTTTATTTTGGTTGCTTTTTCAAAGTACACTGCTACCATGTGAACATGCATAAGATTGATGTATAAGCTTGGGAATAATAATTCTTAATAAACTTCATAAAACATTTTTTCGGATATATGTATTTTTGATTAGGATAAATTGCAGGTGAAAAGGTTGTACTTTCAATTTTGATCAATTTGTATTTTAGGAATTTTATGTCGTATTGTTTCTAACCCCGCAACGCGGGGTTTCCTCTCTAGTTTTTAATTATACTTATAGCAATTCTAAATTTAAACACCTATTAGGTGTAATAATCACATAATCAAGGTAATCCCATAAATTTCAATGCTTTAAATAAGACAACCCGATCCGATATTACCTTTATATATTTCTATCATGTTTTAATTCAATATTTTACAAGCTATCTCTATTATCGATGACCGCTGAAAATCCGGTCATCATATGTACCTATAAACAAAATCATTACATATAGAGAAATTTACAAAAATAGCCATTTACACTAATGATATTACAAAAATAGCCAAAAAAAATCGAAATTACAAAAATAACCACCCATTTCGCAAATGAGAAGGTCCCATCTGCGAAATGGGCTTCTCATCTGTGAAAGTACAAGTGCCTAAAGCACAGTTGTGCTTTAGGCACTTGTACTTTCGCAGGTGGCCTTTTTTTTTTTTTTTTTTTTAAATTTTTTGCTGTACATATAGGGGTTATTTCGCAGATGGAATAGGTCCATCTGCTAAATCCTCTGATTGTATCTACGAAATCGTGTTTTTTTTTGAATTTTTTTTTTTTTTAGGTTGACTATGAAATGGTTTGTTTTGACTACGAAATCAGGTTGCTATATAAATAGTTTTGTAGAAAAAATATCATTTTGGTTGTTATTTGTTTAGGAACTCTCTCTACAATTTTCTCAAAAAATGATTGAATATATGGTTTGTCTTGTAACCGGTGAGAGATGGCAAGTTAATGGAACTAATCTGGAATACATATGTCCACAGGGAGGTATTTCTGAACTTGCTTTGATATTTTCTGAGTATATTAGTTATAGTGATTTTGTATCTTTGGTAAGAAGCAAAATTGGTTTGTTAGACAAATATAGAATTAGTCTTCGTTTCCACCATCCTGAATTAAATTATTATATAGCTATAGTTGAAGACATGGATATTAGAATGTTGATAAACGTAATAAAATGTAGTGGAGGAAGGGCTGTGAAAGTGTTTGTGGTGGTTGATGAAGTTGAGGAGGTTAATGGGGCTGGTGAAATTGGAAACCAAGTTGTTGGTAATTTATGCAGTTATAAAGGGAGCAACGATCCGATAGGTACTTACAATACTCCTAGTGTACCTTAGTTTCACAGTGTTGCTGAAAATGTTAATGTTAGTTATTCACCTATTCACTAGGTGGAACCTGAGAATTACAAGTCTGTTGGAGATGATGTTGATGCATATCTTAATCATGTGGGTGGTCGTTGTGATGATGTTGCCGAACAAGAAGTTAAACTTATGAATAGGCGTGTGGTAGATAAAACAAAAAAGAAAAAAAATTCAAGTAAAAAAAATGAAAAAAATCATGTTTACGGGCATTATGTTGATGTTGGTGATGTATGTTTAGATATAAGCGAGCTACAAAGCAATTCCATAGAGATGAGTTGGGTGATGAAGTTAAAGCTAAGTTTCCCGATAACCTTTTTCATGGTATGCCCCCTGTACCAGCATGGCCAGTTGATATTAATGAAGATATCCCAACACAGATGGTAGACATGAATCTTCAAAAGATTCAATGTGAGAGTATATTTAAGAACAAAGAACTTTTAAAGCGGTGTATTGGTAAAAAATGTCTTCGAGAAGGTTTCCAGACGAGGACAAGTAGATCCACCAAATCAAGGTATGAAGCTGTGTGTGTTTCGAAAAATTGTTCTTGGTTACTAAGAGCAAAAGCAATTAAAAATTCTGATGGTCTTTTCCAAGTGAATAAATTTGTTGATGTACACACATGTTCTTCAACATTGTTGCAACCTAATCATCGACAAGCAAACAAATATGTTTTGGGTGAATATGTTGCTGATGTTTTGGCTGAAGACTATAGTAGAGTGTATCGGGGAAAAGAAATTGTTAACGATATGAATGCTCAATTGAATATCAATATCTCATACCATCAGGCATGGCGTGCGAAGCAATATGCATTGTTGTCGTTAAGGGGTTCGAAAGAGGATTCTTTTACCAAACTTCCGGCGTATTGTCACAACTTGGCCAAACATAATCCGGGTACTGTCACACATATTAAAACAGATGTTGATGACCGCTTTGAGTTTCTGTACGTCGCACTCGGTTGCTCGGTTAGTATTATCATATTATATTAATTTTTAATTTATATTTTGGTGTATTTGAATAGATATACAATGTATGGTAGGTACGCGCTTTTGTCAATTTTTGTAAACCGACCCTAGTAGTAGATGGAGCTCACCTAAAGGGCGAGTTCAAAGGTACCATGTTACTTGCAGTTACTAAGGATGGACAAAACCAAATATTACCGGTTGCATATGGTATATGCAAAAATGAGTGTACCGATTCTTGGACATGGTTTTTTCAAAAACTACGTGATTGCATAGGAAATATGCAGGAGCTTACAATTATATCTGATAGGTCTCCATCTATAGCAACATCCGTTGCCAACATTTTTCCTCACGCTCATCATGGAATATGTGGTGTCCATTTGTATTTCAACATAGTCTCTAGATTCGGCAAGAGTAAGACGGTTAAAGGAATTTTTTGGGAGGCGTGTAGGGCGTACACAGTTGATGCTTTTGATGCCGCCATGGATGTTATGAAAAAGACAAAAGAACCAGTATGGAGTATTTGAAAAGTATAAATCCAGAAACTTGGTCCAGAGCACATTTTAAAGGGAACCGATACAATCTTATGTCGTCCAACAGTGCGGAGTCTATAAATGCATTATCTAGACACGCGCGTAAGGTGCCAATACTTATGTTGATCGATTTTTTTCGTGCTACAATGCAACAATGGTGGTTTCAAAGACGTAACTTTGCAGGTATTAAGTAAATTTTTAATATTAATGTTTTATTAATTTTGATGTTATTGATCTTAACTTCTTCATTTTGGCTCTTTTTTTAGCGGAAGCAACAACAATTCTTACCCCTTGGGCGGATGAAATTGTAAAAGAAACAAGAAAAGTTTTAGCAAATGGGATGTTCGCATGATCTCTAATACGAAATGCGAGGTAAAAAAGGGGGCACAAAATGTGATTGTTGATTTCAAACATATGACATGTACATGTAGGCATTGGCAACTTGATGGGATACCTTGTGGTCATGTCATAAGATGTTTAACAGTGAACAATTACGAAGACTGCTCGAGGTATGCATTAAATGCTTACTTTACCGAAACACTGAGGAAAACATATGAGGAATCAATAAACCCTCTGCCAAAGCCATCCGAATGGGAGATCCCCGATGATTTGATGATTGTTAAGCCACCAATAATGGATAAACGTCAGCCAGGCAGGCCAAGAAACACAGACCGCATTCCATCCCAAGGCGAGGGTCCAATTATAAAAGAGTGTTCTACATGTGGTCAAATTGGACACACGAGAAATAATTGTACTGGAAGGGCGTTTGGTAGCGGAGCACGTCACATAATTTCTACTGCAGAAATGGCATTTAATATTGGTGGTTCAGCGAGTTGCTCACAAACCTATAACGCTGATTTTGATATAAAACATCCTTGAAATGAAGAGTATTGACGAGTTGTTAACTTATTATGTATTGTAATATTTTTATTAAATCTTACAAGACGTTGCTATGCTTTCATATTTTTGTTTAGTTTGTTGATTGTATCAATTAGTGAAGACTTTATATTAAAAAATATAGTTTGCAGATTTTTTTAACAGTTACAACATGTTATTTAAAAAAACAACAAACGATCCTTTTGCAACCTAATCTGTAAGTAATTTTAAAACTCAGGGAACTGCAACGGGTACTTATCTTTCTCCATTGTTATATAGTCATCCCTAATTATCGTTTTGTCTTCGAAACGATCCTTTTTAACCATAATGTGTATCAATTGCTCATCCTTCTCAGCAAGCTGTTTTTCAGTGGTGTAAAAAAATGGTCTACCAAATCACAATAATAACAATCAACTTCGTTGCATGAGCAAATTTCGATTTTGTGAGAGGAAGTCATAATAAAGTCGATATTGTATTAAACTAGACAGTAATGACAAGTCCAACTTTGAAATGATTAGAGATAAATTACAGTTTGACATGACAAAACACTGTAGTAACCTGTATAGATAGATAGTAATGACAAGTCACTGTAGTAACCTGCACATAAAAGTGGGGCCCTTAAGGGACAAGAGATAAATTACAGTTTGACATGACAAAACACTGCATAAAGCTGAAAATCGTAGTCCAAATATAACCATTTCGTAGTCAAAGTATTAATTGATAGTCTATTTACTTATATAAATAGATGTTCACGATATAATAACCAAACACCCGAATCACCTAAACGAAACGAATTCCCATTATTAGAAATGTCGTCGAATGCAGCAAATTCTACGAATGAAGTACCTGGTTCCAATTCTGAAAGGCCATGGACGACAAACGAGGTGTTAGTTCTAACACAATGCTGGCTAAGTGTTAAGGAAGGTGTGTGTTTACTTGCTCCCCCGCATTGCCTAATTGGTGATGAATGGAGTCGCATCACATCTTTGTTTAACCATGAGATGGGAGAAGGGCAAAAAAGAGAAAAATCAGATGTTGTTACTAAGTGGACGGATGTAAAGGAACAAGTGACATGGTTCAATCGAGCATGTGGTTATGCGAAACGTAACAATGTTCGTTATCGTGACGAAGAAGAGTTCTTGGAAGTTGTTACCGAGTTTTATATCTGTCAGCATGACGGCAGAGACTTCGAATATGAGGAAGTTTGGAAGGTTGTTAGAGATAAACAATATTTCAAGTAGACGGCTGTATCTTGTGTTAATAATAACCAATGGACTTGTGTTTTACGTTAATGCTTTGTTCGTATTATGTCGTTGTTTTTCATGTAATTGTTGTGATGTTTTTAATGGTTCATGGAATCCTTGTTACTAATGTATTCTAATATATTGTGATAACTAATGCAATGACCATTTATTAACTCAAGTTAATCATACGAGTTGCTCACATAATAAACTAAAATAGATTCTAAACAAACGGGATATATTTCAAAATATTCCAAGGGGCTTCAAACTGGAATTCCAACCCGTTACTTAATGACTTGTATTCTTCCTTAGCAGCTTCCAAGATAACATCCTCAGTAGCATTTAAACGGGTGTCGTCAATTTTGGTATAAAGATCGTTGAATAATAGAACTTCGGTTTTCATTTCATACCATCTTGCTTGCTAATATGTCTAGTTCTTCACGATCGTTTGTTGTAGCCCTTTGGTTTTCAGCATTGAAAATTTTGGTTAAACGGGTCCAAAACATTGGATCGTTCAACTTGCTTGTCTCGTACACATGAATATAAGCATGTGTAAGAACCAAGAACTCTTCATTGCTCCATGATATAGAACTCATTTTGATTGAAACTAACAGAGTGGAATATAAAAAACAATTTTTGAACAGCAGTATTGGTTTATTTAATAAAGTATTTGTGTAACATAAGATCAATTTATAGTACTTTCTACACAAATCCGCAGTCCAATCTTCTAATATGTCTGCATTTCATAGTCAAAATTAACTGACGAACGCAGTGTACTATACTAATAACATAACAGAGCACTGTTTGAGTTGACAAGTCATCCCCGGATGAATGACAACACAATACATTGTTGCTTGAATTGACAAGCCATTGCAGCAACAAATGAAGGAGTCGTTATAAATAGATTTTAATATGCGTTGTACTTGTTTCGTATTACTTCCATCCCTGCAATTATGGACTCACCACATTCATGGAGGAACGCAGAGGAGGTCGCTTTGGTTCAAGCTTGGATTATAACTGTAGAGGAGGATTTTCCACCGGGTCCCCCACAAGTTCGTGCTGGATCATTTTGGTCTCGTGTCTGTCATTTGTTTCACCATTTAATGGGGCGTAGTCAATATCGAAGAAGAAAAGATGTCAAAGCCAAGTTTCACGCATAACTAATACATAACACGAAACTAATACATAATACTACATAACATATAAAGGTGCTACATGAATAACTACTGCATTGAGGGAGGTAACAGGACCACCGTTTCATTTGGTATTTCCCAATGCACATGCGATGGTATTGTATTCACCAACTCAGATCCATATGCAAGTCGATACACATAACTAGTGAACTTATAATCAACCAATCTGTTTATGGATTCAGATGTACGGGTTCTAAGACATGCTATAGCGTGGGCACATGGTATACCGCTTTTTT